TGCAAGCGGAATGTTGCCTTTTGTTCCGCCACAAAGGTTGGATCACAAGCAATAGTTGGATGAAGTTGGATGTGTCTCAAAATTTGTCAATGCTTTTTCTCGTATTCATGCTTCCACCGCTCAAGCTCTCTGACTTGCAACTAACTGACACCCATCAAAACCCATCAAAAACAGGTACAGTAAACCATCAAAACAGAGTGTTTGAGCTATGGATCTCCACACTCTTTAGCTGCGTTCTCCAGGCCTGAGTGGAAAGGCTGGGGCGTCAAAGGCGAGCTCAGCCTAAAGGCCGTGAGGGCGGCATAGAGCGACCATCAGGCCATCGAGGTGGGCTGGCTGGGTGAGGCCGTGTGTTGTTGGAAGGGCTACTGATGTGGATGTGTCGGTTGTTAAGCTTGCAAAAGGATGCAAAAGGGATTTGGAAGAGGCAAGAAGTAGACCATATCATGTGCTCGTCAACATGTGAAGCGACATGAAATTGCATGTGGCACGAGTTGACACTCCAATATACTCCAATCCTTGTGTGAAGATGCAAGATTGTCCAAGCTTGATTGCTTTGGCAGGTGTCTTTGCAGGTCCTCAAGCCCATTGTACAGTCTTTTTGAAGTAGACCATTCCCTCGAATCGCGCGCAGTGCTTGCAACAAGCACTGCAGAAAGAACATCTGGTGTCTCTTCACAGCAGGCCACGTGAAGACAGCTGCAGGACCGAAAAAGCTTTCTGGAAGCTTGGATGGACGTGTAGGAGAAAGATGGAGAAAGACATTATGCTTAGTAACACATGAGACACATGCATATATAGGCCTTTTAAAAGCTGGACTTCATCTTCAGCTTTCACCTGAAGAGGTGCGCAAGAAAGCGGGTTGTGTTTTGGGGCCATCCCGCTGCGGGTAACGTGGATGTTGTCCGAGCCAGCCACCTGAGGCTCGTCAGAAGAGCAACAATTCGATGGAGGCACCGAGCCATGGGCAGCAAGGGAAACAGAAAGGTGAGACCAATAGATATATGTTGCAGTACATTATATATTTCTACTATCAAATTATTACTATGGTGGATGGATCCTCTGGATTTGTTTCCAAGGATTTGTTGTCAATGGATGGGGGACAGCAAGGGGGAAGGAACTACTTTGACTCTTACATACTATACTTTTAAGCTGTGGTTTCTCGATCTGATGTTTTCGGGGGAAACCGCGGCAGAGACTGCTTGGTGCATTGGTAATGCGGCTTTGAAGGTTCCCCTTTGTTGAAGGAGTGTGCTACACGGATTTGCTGGGTGGTACAGTAGTCTTCATGTTCTGCTGTCGCCCTAGCGTGTGCTCACGGAACAGCGTTTGGGCGAGCCGGTCACCCGTCATGTTCGATCTGGGCGAGCAAGGGAAGCCAGATCTCAGGGTCATCAAGTGGGCGAGGATCTCAGGGTCACTCAAAAGAAACTTTTGAGCACCATTGACAACTCAGGACAACCCTGGCTTTACACTGCGAACATGTGGGAATATATGGACATCCCAGTTTGGGGAACTGTCTCTCAGCCGGACTCATAAGACATAGGAACAAGTAACGACTACCAGACATGGCAAGGAATCAGCCGATGCTTGCAATGTCTCTTTTATAAATAGTTTACTTTCACCACGACTTGCACCTGATTTGCCGCTTTTGACTGTAGCCTGTGCAGAAATATGTGACCTTGTCCTACCAATACTGAGTTCCGGGTGTGCGGCGTGTAGCACATGAATACCGCAAAATAGATGCAAAACAGTGCACCATTGGATTCCTCTTCACTCTGTGTTCCCTTGCGGCAGAAAACACGGACATCCTGGAGGCGCTTCAACAACAAAACCTTCTCTGAACTATAGTTTGTGTTTAACCAAACTCGCGTTTCTACCATGTTCCACCGGTCAATATTTTTTGCCAAGAACATCCACCGAAGAGCACAGCCAGGCCTTGCGCCTGAATTTGGCCCAGTCGGGTGCGTGGCCCGTGGGATGTGCGGTCGAGGCGGGTGAGAGCAAGGGAGGCGGGTCCGTTCATTGGTTGGCTATAGGCTATAGTGATCAATTTGTTTGAATGTTTGATGTTTCTCGTTTCATTTGTTGGTTGTCCCAAAGATACAGCCAGATTTGGCGTGTGAGAAAAAACAAGAATGCTTCTGCTTGAGAATTTATATAGATGTGTTATTTTAAAACAGGGAAAAGTTGATGAATGCCGCAGAGTTCACGTTCTGTGTAGTTTTGTGCTCTCATTGCGCACTTGTATGTGCAGTAAAAGGACTGAGACCTTGGCAGGTGCTTCTTCCACCCAGCACGCTAGTTTCCCGTTGGCCCGGGTTGCCTAGAGAGCAGCTGGAGTTCGTTGGAGTTCAGTGTGGAGTCTGATCGTTTTAGACCTATTAGACCTATTGGATTCTATTGGACTATATTATAAGTCGGAGTGTTGCAGTATGTCGCTCTATGTCGTCTCTATTCTTTGCCAAAAAACAAAGAACTACCAGGATCCTCCAAGGGGTGTCTATTTATAGCCCCTTAGCTGTTAAGGGGTGTCCATTAACCACCCCTTGAGGGTCCTGGTATAATCATGTCTCATACGATTGAACCTCGCTTTTGTCGGGTCACCGGTGTGAGGTCCTTTTTCGCCCGTCCTCCGACTCCGGACGTTTATTTTTTTACCAGAAAAAAAACGACGAAACGGTCATGTCGGGCATGACATGAGAGTGAGTTGGACAACGTATTTGTTGGAATCCTCCTGTCCAAGGAAAGGATATATATATATATATTATATGCATATAACTCTTTCTAGTTGCCAGCTTTATCTATATCCAAGGATAGTTCTTACTTTGAGGAAAGAAGTAGTTTGTTGACGTTGTTTGCCCGCTTTACCTACCTATAATTTTCAAAGTAGAGATCCACATCTCCAAACCTACCGCAATCATGGAAGGGACATTGCGTAGACATTGGGAATATGAGTCCTGAGATTCCTAATGTTGCTGACTACGGTCATCATCAGTGGTCGTCTCTTATTGTTGATTCCATAGCAATTGTCCAGTTCTTGGAGGAAGGTACACAATGTTGCTTGTTTTGCTTCTTGTATGTTGCTCACTTTCTCCCTTCTAATACAAGATTCTTTCCTTCCCCTCCTGGACTTCTCCTCTTTCCTGGCATGCATTCACATGCCGCTGAAACGGCCAGGTCCTGTCAGTCCGGCCGTTTGGTGCACTATGACCCCGAAGCCAACTCAATCCAGGCACTCGTCCCGACGATCTGGGAGAGAGACCCCGAAGACGTCGGGTGTGAGTGAGTCCGGGGAAGAAGTCTGAGAAGAGACGGAGTCTTCTCCGATTCTTGCAAGCTCAAGCGGCAGATGATTGAACTTGTCAGGGTATCCCCAGAAACAGAACATCAGATGGAAAAGTGTACTTCAGACATCTTCAGACTGATGACCTAAAGGGGCACCATCAGGGGGCCCACCATCGCCCCCATGAACAACACCGGGTCTCCGTGCCGCCATCTCCACCCGTCCGGCGTCTTTGGACGACCGGTCCGGCGTGCAGGTGCGCTTTCTCGATGGATCCACTCAGATGGCGCGGACTTAATGGCACTTTCTCGGATGAAACAAAGGCTCCCCCTTACTTAGGTCAACAAGGTCAACAAGGTTTGAGATTGGAGGTATGGAGACCAGATGCGCCTAATAAAGATGATGACCTGATGATGGATGATGGTTGAGAGGATTCTGTGTGAACACTGAGGCCTGTGTGAGGTTTTTAATATATAAGGAAAATAAATGAATTTTGCTAGAGAGGCTTTTAGGGATTGTGGAGAGAACATTGGCAGCTTAGATTCCAGTGTTCAAACAAAAAATTCAGATGTTGCTCCATGTTGCAATGTGTGAAGTTGGCTGCAACCTGTTTACGTCTCTTTCCTAGCCACGTGGCCAATGGTTTGTTGCAGCCCAAGGTCCCTGCGAGCCGCGCACGGCGGGTGTCACCAGGCCCAGCAGAGTCGAGAGTCAAGGGCGTTCGGAGGGCTGGGAGCAAGCATTTTGCTAGACAGCTGCTTGCTGTGTTGAGCACCAGAGCACCAATTGTTGGGTGTGTGTTGTTACGAAGCCCGAGAGGGAGCCCTTGGAATGTAGAATTGCAGAATTGCAGAGAGTTTGAAGGTGAATAGACCCTCAGATGGAAGGTCCTTGGATGCTGAGGATGATACTCCTGAATGATGTAGGACCCAAACATTCCATGGGACTGGCATACATACCAATCAGTTGTGGTGTTTTGAGAGGTCAATATAGCCAGGAAGTTGTAGGTAGTGTTGCAGGTGTATATATATATAGAATCGCTCATGGAATCGTGATTCCCATGTATTTGTGTTTTGGGACAGTCTCGAACCACATTTGTCCTCGCAAAAGTCACCACAACTGTTTGATCGCACCAGGCAGCTTCAGGCACCTGACCTGGGGGGAACCTCCCGCGTTTGCGAAGCGACGAAGACGCCATGGGTTTTGAGCTGGCGAAAGCGATGGTTGCCGTCTTAAAACCTAATCAGGTACTGGAGACTGTTGATGGTTTTGATCGTTTTAATGTTTGATGGTTCGCAGATGTGTGCAGATATGATACCCCAGAATTCTTCTCAAACAAGTGTGCCACACGAAATCATGTTCCAAGCCTTCTCTTATATGCTGATCTAGTATCAGTTTGTTTTTTTTTTTAGTATGTAATTATCAGTCAAATGTGACGCTGAAGTGTCCACGACTTGGTGTCGGTCGAAGTGCTTCCTGAAAGTACAGCCCCTCCCAAAAGAAAAGTGTTTCGCTGCACGTTCCTATTTGAGAATTCAAGGGTTCACAAGAAACGTACGGCGGATAGCTACAGAGGGTTCTACAGAATCCATATGGCCGTGTATTAAAACAGGGAGATCCCCCAATAAGACATTTGAATAATAAACAATGCAAAACAAAATTGGTTGGAGTTCCCATACTTAAATAGACACCCATATTGTAGTTCCACGTCCATCCGGATTTCTTGAACATTGCTTCAACACTTAAAAACTTAGATCCTTCTTCCCCACCTCGGTGGCCTTCGCGACATGTCATGATGGGCTTGTTGGCTCAACTTTCCCTGCCATGGATCGCTGAGCTGCGCGTTGTGGCATCACCGGACGACCGGGCTGCTTGACGAGGAGAAAGCGGTTTGTTGCACGTTTCAGGCCTTTATTTCAGCAATCAGCATCCAGGAGCAGTTTCTACTTTTTCTAAGGTGTTCTGACCTAAGGTAAGCCTCGACTGGAACTTTATACACAATAAAGATGGAGCTTTGGCACTGCTTCTGGAGACACTCCAATGAAGGCACTCCAATGACATGAGCCTCTCCATCACGTAACCAAGTTTCACGAAGTTGAGACCGAGCTGGTCTGCTGATGGGATCCAAAAATGCCGAGCGAGTTTGGTGGAAGGTCAGAAGTGTGGCGAGTTTCAGAGAATGTTAGACTCTATGAAGAAGTAACAAGTTCCACTCATTTTCAGAGACTGCTGTAAAGAGAAAGAGAGTTTAGTCTCGCAAGCATCCATTGGTCAGCTGTCAAGTCAATCCATGGAAGTTGATGTCAAACTGTCAAGCCTGTGGTGTTGTTTCCTTTCATCATCCTAAACGTCTAACGGCGACCGATTCTGGATGCATCCCGTATACGAATGAGTTCCTTCGGCTCAGTTCTCCGCGGTTCGATGGCACCCGTTTGGTGCACTGGCCCAGGCCCGTGTGCTTGCGTGCACGCGTAAGCGCCGGCGTCGTTTACGCGCCCGCACACGGGGCACAGGGTGGGTCAAGGTGATTTGGGGTTAGACATCCATCCCAGAATGGAAGGAGCAAAAAGACAACTCCAGGCTGAGAATTTCGTTGTAGGGAGAGAGATGTGTGAGATAGGGAGTCAAACCCCAGAGATAGGGAGTCAAACCCCACTTTTGGGATCCTTTTATGCCAAACATGGATGCAGCAAGAATTAGGTTCAAAAGTGCTCGGGCTGTAGATGATTCACCCCGCGTTCCCGCAAAAAGAATCATGGGGTGATGTGGAGGTCCGGAATTCTCGACACCTTCGATGTCCAAGCCAAGCCGCCAGCCAAAGCTTCGGAGGCAGGAAGATTGCTCGATTGCTCGATGTCACTGATGTCAGCTACAGAGCTGAGATACTAGATCAGTCGTCAGTTTCTTTTGGCATGTCCAAGACTTTAAGCGGATTCTTCAGATGTGTTGCAGGAACCGCACATAGTTTGAGCGTCCAGATCTCAGTGTGCGGCACAGAAAGTGGCTCTAAGAACTGCAAATTGGTGTCCAGGTGTCGACAAGCCGTGCCATGTTTTGAGGACAAGCCGGACAAGCTTACTTGTCATGTTCTTGCTTTCGGAGTACACACCTTTGACATGCGTTGATCATATCTCACATGATATGCAAGTACAGTATGTTTCATGCTAATCACACAGCCACTACGTTTGCTTCTTCCATCTTCTTCCCATGTCTTCCCTACAATGTCTATCAGTGTGCTATACGCCGTCAAAAAACCGTCAACAGATGCTTGTCCACCTCAACTTCCGACCGAATACGATGTGATGAGGTCCATTGATCATACAATGGGTCACCAATACATATGGACCTCCACTGGACACCCATTGGATGATCCAGGTAGGAAGGCAACACCGTCAGGTAACTTGAGATTTTGCGCTTTTGAGGTCTGTCAACATGTTTGATCCAGCTGCGACCTGTCCGCAACGCTGTCAGAACGGAATGTGTGTTTCTTTTTTCAGCGCCAAAGGGCGGCTACAGAGTTTGAGGGAATACCCAGCTGAAACCAATCCAACTTGTCCACTGGCTGAACATACGTATAGGGAGAATATGAGTTTGATTGTCCTGCAACCGGCAAAGCACTTGGAATATATTAAATTGTTCAAAGTTGTTTTTTGGTGTTCCCGTTGTGGGTCAGAGCAGGACAAAATACAACACAGCATGGGTTCAACACATTTTTTGTTCTAAGTTCAGATTCAGTGATTGCATGTTAATGCCCTACAAGCATGGAAGGTCATTGTACCACCGCCCGTTGGAAATGGAACAAGGCACACCTCCTATATATCTTCTGCGGAAGTTCTTAACCTCCTGCTCAAGAAAACACATCATTAAAACAGGAAACAAGACCACAAGAGCAACAAGAACATACACCACCACCACCACCATTAACAACAACAACGACGACGACAACAACAACAACGACAGCGACAAAGACAACGACAAAGACAACGACATCAACAAACACTTGAATAAAGACTGACATCACCTCATCTCACCTGGAAAACATTTGGACCTTCTCGGGGGCTCTCCGCCTATCCTTGTCGGCGACCCACCCGTGTTTTTGTTGCCCAAGGAGATGTCCGCAGAACAGGTGCCCTTCGGTCGTTCGACGGGGACCGACCTTGCTGCAGCGGACGTGTTGTTTTCTCACAGTGGACGACTTTGGAAGACGGTTTTAGTAGCTTCTTGCTCCTGATAGTAAGGCCAGGAGCCCCTAGTAGCGTCCTTGCTCCTAGTAGCGATGCCCTTCGCTCCAAGTAGCTTCTTAGACTTATTTCTTGTGGATATATGTCGACCACCCAAAATTTAACAGAGTAGACGGTTGGCGTCCCTACGTGGATTGGCATGTTTTCCGACTGTTGATATGCAGTTTGTCTAAAATCATATTGGATCTCGAAGTGCACTTGTTTGAGAGCTAAGCAAGTTTACTGTCTTAACAATTGTTGGTTCCACCACCACCCCGATCCCCAACCACCAGGCGGATGAGGCGGAAGCTGCACTGTGTCTAGCTCTCAGCACGTCCGCCAGATTGGAACTGTGTGGGACTGGCATTGATTTCTGAAGCTCCAACGATCTTCTAAGAAAAGACAAGATATGTGAGTGAGGGATTGAACAGGGACTCACATTTATTGTTTTTACTATTTTTGTTGTTCAAAGGAGACAAGGAAACGCGCACGTGTTGCATGCCTTGTCTAAGAACAAACTATTGTGAAAATTGGCTTCACCCAACCGCTTCACTCCTGGGGTTGAGAGGTTGAGACTCCTAACCGCTTCAACTGTGAAGCTAAATGCTTTGCAACATCCTCAAGCAGTTGCCGCCTGGATCGAATTTGGATGGCGTGCTCGAGGTCAAGACATCTTTGATGCAGCTTCTCAGGGCCGTGTGGCCGCCGTGCGGCACTTCCTCCGTGGGAACGCTGCACTGGTGAACGAAGAAAGCACGACAGGTGCCTTGGTGTTGGTGTGCCGACGGAGTCTGCGCGTTTGGGCGACTGAAAGTTGTTTCCCGATGTCACAGGTTCCAGTGATGTTTGGATCATAGACTGAGTCTGGTCCACTGGCTGTAAAGACAGCACACTCCGGCACTCTGATTACAAGCCCTGGGCTGCGTGAGGATACCAGACCCAGTCCGCCATTTGAGAAGGTTCTACGATCGATACTTGAAAGGGAGTGTGTGGGTGGTGAGAGCCTCTCCAAGCCATTGTTGACCTCACCTAAGAATCTTTAGAAGAAGGCAGTCGGGTCTATGTTTGGTTTCGTCGTCCGTGGTTTTCCTTACTCTCTCTCTCTCTCTCTCTGGCTTCATCGAGAAGGGTGAGGATGTTTTCGTTTCCCAGATCTACCAACAGAGGTTGAAGAACATAGACTATCCCAGTTGGGTGCCCCAAGTGACAGGTCCTACAATAAGGTCAGAGTCACTTAACTTCTCTTGGTACCTCCAGGTCGATCACTGCTTCACTTGGCCATGGACACCGACGTAGTGGAGCTCATGGAGCTCCTCCTCAGAAGTCATGCCGATGTCAACTTTGCGGACTGGCTCGGTCGGGCGCCCAAGTTCACGCACAGCGGCAGGTGGAGAAAACGGGGGCTTTTGATGACATGACCCAACGTCAGATAGCAGACCTGGAAGACTGGTGGTTTCTTGTAAGAAGCTGTGGTGCGTTGACTGGCCAGCACGAGAAGCATGCTTTTAGATGTATCGTCAGCCCTCTCCCATCTCTTCATATACCACGTCCGCGTTCACATCCACCTAGGCCAGACCGTGCTCCATCTGGCCTGTGCCCGCTCTTTGGACCCACCCATTGGGGTGCTCCGGCTCCTGGACGCCAGGGCTCAGGTGAATGAGATCGATGAGTTCGGCCCGGAGACCCGGAGGAGCTCGGCCGGACTGGATGAGGTGGATCATGTTGGATCCCTTCGGACTGGATGGGTTTGCGAGTGGGTTTATCTTTGGGGTGGGGAGGAGGGGGTACTCGACGTCTCGCACTGTTCTACGACGTCTCCTGAGAGAATCTTTTTGGGGCCGATTTTGGGTTTCGGGTGACGTCAGATGGTGTTGGGTGTGGCGTTTTCTTTTTTTTTTGGTGTGTGTGTGTGAGAACGGTATTTTTTGGAGTGTTTGGGTGTATATGAGGGAGTGTGAGGGAGTGTGCAGGCTAAGCAGAACACGAAAAACGGCAGGGTGAAGATGTGGTGACACGACAAACGGTGCCAGGCCTGAGAGTCAAGGAAAAGCGATGCAAATCAGCTGTTTGTAGAAGCAGACAGCTGATTTGGGCAAGAGTAGATCCAGCGGATTTTGTTTTTGATTCTGGGTTCAGCAAGAGTAGATCCATCACTGTTCTATATAGGTCAACTACCAAAGACTCCGAGGACTACATAGTAGAGACGAGATGGGATCTCAAACCGCAGGTCTTGGATGTTTTGACCGCGCAGTGCCGCACAAAAAGGGTCTTATATACACTCACCAATCAAGGATAACATACAGGAGCTAACAGATCATAACACCCTCACCATATTCACTGATGTCCTTTTATAACATTTAATATTTATATAAATAGTTATATGTATATAATATAATATATGCATTAAATATGCTAGATTAGATCCATAATATAACATAAACCTTGAACACATTCCTGTGTGCCTTCGGCCACCGAAGAAGGCATGCGCGTCCCTGAGGCCTCACCCCATTGCACAAAGCGGCCGAGCGGGGGCAGGTGGCGCTCATCCAAAGCCTCCTGGAAGCCCAAGCAAACGCGTGTGCGACCACTCCCGAGGGCCACTGGGATCTGTGAAATTTGGATGAAGTCAGTTGACGCTGTTCCTCGTTTCGTGCGGGCTATATACTTGGTGGTTTGAGGTGGAACATTTGGGAGGCCATTCTTCACAAGGTGGAAAAGCTACTGCCTGCAATATCATGGATTTGGTCCCAAGAGCTACTCCTAAAAACACATCCAACCACGAAAGAGTAGGACCGATTCACAAACTTTGGGACGTTGAGATGTTTTTGGCCACTCGGACACTTGCTCTACTTTATTAAGCACAATATTCTGTGTGTGACGGAGCTGTAGTATCGTTGAGAATCGTTGAGATGATTGAATGTCTCACCCACTGATGATTTGGGGATTTGAAGCTGTGGAAGTGCAGCTTGTCATTCCTTTTGTCTTGTTTCTTTGTGCCAACAATGTAACATGGCAACGTCTTGTACAGTGCCAATCACCGCCAAATATAGCTTAAGTTTTTTCAACAGCTGCAGGCATAACTCCGCTTGGGCTGGCTCGAGAAGGGCTTCACTCGGCAGCAGTGGAAGTGTTGCAGCACCCGGACCTCTACGTGGATTTGGTGCGGCTGGGCTGGGTGAAGCCGCTGTTCACTCCAGATCTGTATGGTATAGGTCCTGTACTAGGGAACATGTTGGGTGTGAAAAGAACCATCAGCTGAGGGCTCAATTTTGGGGACTATGGCACTCAAGAAATTAACAAGAGGACTCAAGGACCGAGCTGTGATTGGTGCTACTGCGCCGAAGGCGTTGGCGCATTGCCTCGTCTCGAGCCATACACATGCAATGAGGTGTATGAAGATCGGTGCTACATTATGGAGATGGGTCAAAACGCGGAGCCCCGACACCACAATATAGCTTGGTCAACCAAGGAACCAAGGTACCCTGCTTGTTTTGACCAACATGTTTGTGTTCCGGACCAACATGTTTGTGTTGAACGGAGCTGTTTGGAATTTGGTTTGTATAACAACTAGGTAGGAGCTTTTATGTTTGTTCCAGCCTGGCATTTCAACTGATGGCAATGCTGTGAAGACTTCTTTGTGAATGGTGCAGAAAGCAGAAGAGTTTCACGTTGGATGCAGAAGAGGAACTCATGCGCCGCAGGAGCGGCGAGATGTGCCACACCAGGTTCTTCGAGGGATCTCAGCATATTTGACCGACAACTGATGATTTCCTTCGTAGGTCAAACGTGTTATCAAGGTTTTACACGAATTGTTCGTCAGTCAATCGTGTTCAGCTGGAGCTTGGTGGAAGCCATTTCGTTGGTTCTTTCAATCAAGGGCTTTCTTTTGGCGATGTTCATTGAATTCTGCCAGGAACCCTTCAGATGGGATCAGGCAGGACTCCGTGGGTAGGTTACTTGAGCCACAACTTGTGGCTCTTGATTCAGTCCTTGGAGGGGGCATTATTTGTAGTGTATGTCCAAACGATCCGCCTCCCCAAAAAGGTATAGGAATTCCACACCAGGATGGCATATCCAATGGGTTTCTCCGGTTTCTCATGCCATTGGCTTGTTAATCCCAGGTACATGTGAACATCTACCAATCGTGAGTGGGTGAGGTTTTCGTGAGGTTTTCATGCCCTGCAGGCATACGGGAGGCCTACCGCCCTGTCCATACCCGTCGCTCGGCCTGGCCGGACTCGGAAACACACATGTCCCACGTGGGTGTTCCCGTGGGACGACAAGAACCTTTTTTGTGTTGCTTCCTTTGTTGAAGCATTAAATGGGTGTTTCCTGTTATTTTTTCTTCCACGACCAAGGGGTGTGTCAAGAGAACAAACATATAGGCGCATAGAGGTGCTAGCAAATAGATCAAGAAGTCGCATGGTGTTGTTTTGCATATGTTGGCTGTCAAGGTCAAGGTAGCTGCCACCCACACGGCAGCCATCTATCGAGTAAGCTCATGTCTTGAATGAGGCATGTTTTGGAAGTCTCCTTTCCAATCAGTGGTCTTCTTTTATGTTGTCTTTACCCAACGGGCCCATCCAAGAACGCCTGAAAACCCAATGTAAACTCTTGATTGATAACACCTCCTGATATGGCAGGGCCGGGCCCTTATTAATCAAGAGTGTACGCTACCATGCGTATATGTATACGTAGGAGATTATAGGAGAGTTTCCTGATTTTGCTAAGTCAGTCGATCTGCCGCTCTGCTCCGCAGGCGAGCGGCCGTGTGCCGCGCGGGGCTTCGCCCGTTTCAGCGCTCAGCACTGGCGAGGCACTGCTGAGGGGATGCCACCAAGACCAAGCCTTCTCGGATGTCTTTTGTGTTATCTCTTGTCTACTTGGACCATTATGAAGTTTGCCAGGAATCGACCACCGCCCACGGTACTGGCTTTTTGGGACTACAGTCTACCAAGAGATCTATTCAGTGGACCAATTGTCCCACTCGTTTGGGTGAGACCCTGGCAACGTCCGTGGCATGCCTGTGGCCTTTATTTGCCGCTCGTTGAATGACGTCTCTACCTTCTTGCAGGGCACATGGACACCTTTTGGGCGTTGAATGGTCCATCTCTCATATGAGCCCCCCGGAAGATGCACCTAAGTAGACGTCAAACATCGTCAAGCATTCGTTTGCAATCCAGCGAGTATCCAGGGAGGGTTGGATTTTGCTGGCATGGAGATAATGAACAGGAGATCAAAATCGGGAGTACGTTTGTTTGGTTGGTGCACAGTACACAATCAGTATCTTTATTCAGGGGCCAGTTTACAGTGTATTAATCAGTTTTGGAAGTTTTTTGGACCATCAGCAGCACGCAACTCTGATGGTAATTATAGACCCCCCCCGGATCTCGTGTGGATTCCATCCAATATCCATCCACAGTAGTGCTGGTGTTGGAGTCGCTTTATGACGAATCGGTCGACCACGACAAATGGGACTGGCATATGTACCTACATTCACCATCATTCACCCCAACAAAAACAAGACCAACCCCCAATGTATGTCAATGTTCCGGTCCCATTTGTCGTGTTTGTTGCGGTATGTTTACCGGCCAGGTGATGCCGACACCAGCATCACCCTTAAGGAGGCCTGGCGAGGCGAGGGTCATGCGCCACGCGATGCCACGTGTGTAATCCGGATCAACACGTTGTGTCCATAGAGTTCGTCCAGATACAGCCAACATGCCGTGCTTTGTTGCTCTAAGTTTTACATATTTCTGGACGACTCGGGGGGGAGGCCAAGTTTGGCCTGGACTCATCTTGGCTGCGCCAGTGCGGAACATGGGAAACCATTGGATCGACGTTTTTGGCCGAAGACTTTGGGTGGCTGAGGTGCTTCGAACAACCTCACCATTGAGGAGGGCTGGTGAGGCAGATGTGGTCACTCTCGACTGCAGGGAACAAAGACTTGGATGTGAGAAGGTTCCTTTGTCCCGTAAAGGAGAAGGGGAGGCAACCATGACCATCCCCAAGAGGTTCCTATAATCCATATTATAGATTTTGGCAAGTGCTTGTGTCTATTGATATTGAATTGGTTACTTGGCAAGGTGTCACCAACATCCATGCCATCGAGGGTTAGCCAGGCCTATGCTCACGTGCGTTTTGGCCTAGAACCTTCTTGAGAGGGTCATGACAATTTGGCTAGTTGTCAATAGTCGAGAGGTACGTCTCCAATGAACAAAATGGTTGGGCAGAGCTTTGCTTTGCCGTTTGTCAAGATGACTAGGGATACTAGGGCATCATGGCTGACCTTTATAAACTCTGGAGCAGTTATGTCTAACCTATTGTATTTGTCAGGCGTCAAAAGGTTCTTTCAAGGCTTCAATCCAGCAGCTTTGAAGCGACCAGAGACTCTGGTCGCGGTGGTCACGATCTGGTTTCCTTTGCGGCAAGGCATCTCCAAGATCTGGCAAGGCCTTTGATGTTGATGCTCTTGTGCTAAGATTGTATTTTTGCTTAGATATGATGTGTATTTAATTGTGTTTCTAAGATATATTAAGCAAAACAGTGATCACGGCTGTCACATGAATTAGTGCATTGACCTTTGGTTTGGCTTATTGTCACTGTGTTTTTGAACATCCTTGTTTCTCATGATGATTGACCACACATGATGTTGTTTCTTTTGGCTCTTGAGGAAGGATGTTGCACGCGCCTTCTGCATTGGTGAATCAAAAGGTTCATGCCAAGTAAGCTGCAACATCCTTTCAAAAATCAATTGTAGAAGTTTCTTGCTACTAGTAGCGATGCCCTCGTTACTGGTAGTTTCTTGTTCCTAGTAGTTATGCCAGGAGCTACTAGTTTCTTGTTACTAGAAGTAATGCCAGGAGCTACTAGT